CCGGTGTGTGTGTGGGTGACGATCGCATTCAGGCAGAGAGAGGGAGGAGAGAAAGGCGAGTTGTGACAGCAGTGGTGAGCTAATGAAGATTGTGCAGTTTTAAAACTTTTTGATCAACTTAAGAAGTTAACTGATGACATGAAACAAAGCTAGATTACATTGCTTCAAAGTCTCGTTGCTTTTAAGTCTCCGTATAGTTTAATGAGCCAGTTATTAGCAGTGACGCAGCAAGTTTTTTGCCGCGCTCGTCAGTGACGCGGGATAATAGGCCTGCTGTTAAAGTCAGTTGGATTATTCAGTGCTGAAGTTGAATACTCCCGTGTTTTTTTGTAATATACATCCAGATTTTTGTTAGTTCAAACGAACTCAAAACGTAGTGGATGCTGTGTTATTTTTGCGAGGATTTTTGCGTTGGAAAGCATCGTGTGTTCATTGTTTGCTCTGATTGATCGCCGTTGGACGGGATTGTGGCCTTGTTGGATCGTGCTGTGCGTTCAGGATCACGAGGGCAATCGTTGGGGATCAAAGAGTTGAAGGAACATTACCCTGCCTTTCCACGCTCCTTTCAGCGCTCCGTTCTGGACCCAAGAGTGGTGATGTACAATATTGAGTTCACTTTTCCCTGAATATTGGTAAGACATCTTTTCTTTTCACCAAGTATCGAAACAGAACTGTGTTTTAAAGGAACTCTCGATCGAAAAACTGGGAATTGTGCATTTTTCCACAAAGAGACTTATTGGTTTACCGGTCTATGGACATTTTCACTCGTGAATGGACTGAGTATATTTTTCCTGAATTTTGAAAGTGAACTCTAACTTGATTTGAACTCATTTGATTAATACTGATTGTGAATGTGAATTTTGTCATTGTTTAAGGTGTGACTGAAACACTATCACATTGATTCTATTTCATTTATTATTGTCTATATTTCATTTCATTTTGAGCTGATTGAGTTTAAAACAATTTAACTTTTTATGTGAAGAAACATAAAAAAAGAAAACTCATTCAATTAGTCTCATAAGACTAATACTTTTTGTTTAAATAAATATTTGTTTGTTTAGTTACATTGAGTTAACTGAAGTCCTTTATACTAAGGAGTGGGGCCGTCTCATCTATCCTGTTAGATCTGGGAGGGGGGGTTTTTCTGAGTTTTTACACACTCACATACACACTTCAGGCTACCACCGTGATAAAGATAGATCCTGAAGCCCACCTCACTTTATCTGTAGCTCCATATAGCAACACGATAGACACTCACATATGACCACTAGTTATACTGAGACCTAAAGCATTGGGTGGGGGGACTAAGATCCTGTTGCTCACTCAGTCTTCCTTAGTGTAAAGTATATTATTTGCCCCACAAGGCGGTGGCATATTCCCCTCCGCCACATATAGTTGAAGTCAGAAGTATTCGCCCCCTTTTGAATTTTTGTTGTTAACCTAGTTAAGTTTAGTTGCTTAAATCTTACAATTTCCTTAAATACATTAATTCTTTGTCTGTAATGATCATAATCTTTTGCGCCCGTCTGTTTTAAGCTCTTTTGAAATGACCTAAAAACACATGCAAATAATAAACCCTTCACTCTATTGTGGTTAAACGTAGCAGTAACTCAAGTCAAATGTGTTCTCTATATCTTAGCTGCTCAACTATAATTCAGACTCAACATTGCAGATCTATGTGATGTGACTATTGCGGATGCTCACATTGTGATATCGATGCTGAAACGTTATATTGTGCAGCCGTAAAAGTAATATATCTTTTATTATATAGGTTATTATAAAATAAAAATCAATATTAATAAACGTATAAGTATTAAAAAATATGACAAGATATTCTAAAATAGATATTACAAAAATGTATGCACCACTGCAAAAAAAGTTTTTCTTACTTTAAGAAGTAAATATATATGAATGTGTTTATAAATATTAATAAATATTTAGTTGTTATTATAATATATTATAAAGTAAATTTTTAATATATTTAAAAAACGCTTGAATCAAGAAGCATTTAAAAATACTGTTTTTGTTTTCAGAAATAATAAAACAAAATTAAGTGGGTTTTTCCTTAAACTAAATAATCTAACAATTGTAAATGTAAAAATAAATAGGCATATTGTGAGAGTTGAGGTGTGGGGGAATAGAGACTGTATCAAACTCCGTTCCTGGAGGGCCGCAGCTCAGCACAGTTTAGTTCCAACCCTAATTAAACACACCTGATCAAACTAATTGGGTCCTTCAGGCTTGTTTGAAACCTACAAGTAAGGGTGATGAAGCAGGGTTAAAACTAAACTGTGCTGGTTTACTGCCCTCCAGGAACTGAGTTTGACTCTCCTGCCATTAGGGTACAAGCGTGCGTGCGCGTGCGCGTGCGTGCGCGTGCGTGCGCGTGCGTGCGTGCATGCGTGTGTGTACGTGCGTGTGTACCAATACTTTTACATAGAATCTTTGTAGTCCTAAGTTAAAAATATACAATTCCACATGATTATATGTTATACAGTAGGTGTATGTGTGAAAATGTATGTACTTACCTGTGGTGATATTTCTCTTTTGTTTGGTTTATATGGTTAAGGGGAAAACATGGTCTAATATACATACATGTATTTACACACTGCTAATATTTGCAGGCCTTAATGGGACTTTATGAGTCACTGAGGTTTAACTCATGACGTAAATCTTTGTGTGTGTGTTTTGCTTGTGTGTATGTGTGTGTGAGTCTGTAGGATTCTAGGGATTAATTTCTCTTCTAAGCAGTAAATAAGCCCATCATGCAGATGGTCTGTTTGGCATTTCTCATACAGCATTGCTTTTTTAAAAATAAATACTCCCTTCCCGAAAAAAAGTAAAATAAATAAAAGTCTCTGTTCAGTGTTGTATTTTGCTGCTGCCAGAGAACATTTTGTTGAGAGTGCCGGCTTAATGGATTGGGGAATGATAGAACGAGTATGTCATCAGTGAGAAAATGAGCCAGATGACCGCTGCTGATATAATCAGGTTGCTGCCTCTCTGTAATTGGATTGCTACTGATATGTCATGACCGAGAGGTGTGTTGTACTGCGTTGCCGCATTGATTTGTTTTAAAAGTTATGGATTTGTCGGCGCCAGTAGCCTACTGGTACTGCCTGCTGACATATAGCACCAACATGCTCACGGCGACCTGAGTTTGATTCCCGGCTTGAGGTCCTTCCCCTCTCTCTGCTCCCAATGCTTTCCTGTCTGAATTCTCTACTGTCCTGTCATAATAAAGGTGAAAAACCCATAAAAAATAAATAAAAAATAAGAAAGTTATGGATTTTAAAAGCACAGTGTGTAATTGTTGCCACTAGAGGGTATGTATTCACAAAAAACAAAGGCAGTTTGATGAGGGCATGACTGTGGAATCATGAAAGTTGTGGTCTTAATTATTTCCCACAGGACTCCTGCAGAAATCATGTTGATGGATGATCTGAATAGTTTATCTCCAACCACCTCCAAATCACACCTGCTTAATAGTCTCTAGTAGTCTTGAACACCTTGATTAATTGGATTAGCTGTGCTTAATTAGGATTAGAGCAAAACTGTGCAGAGATTAGAACAGATTTTAGCACCAACTTTCCTCAACGCATCTGCAAGGATGTTTCTAGAAAACCCCAGTAAGTACTTGATTAGCTAGCCCTGGTGTGTCTGATTGAGGTTGAAACTAAACTTTGCAGGACACCGGCCCTCAAGGACTTATATTGAGAACCCTGATCCAAAGTATTCAACACTTATTACGGTAAACATGATTGTATGTGCAATTGTTGATGAAAGACCAATGTGACGAGTATTTTTTAAAGATTTATTTTTTGGCCTTTTTCCTTAATTAGATAGGACAGTATTTAGACAGGAAGCAAATTGTAGAGGAGGGGGAGAGGGGTAGGGAAATGGCCGGAATTCTAACTCTAGACACCCTGTCTTGCTACAGCACGCTTGCCACTAGGCTATTGCCCTGACTGACGCTTTATTTTAATGAAAAAATTATACATATTTGAGGGAAGTCAGCTGAGGCTCCTGGACGCCTACTTAGGTAGGTGTTCCAGGCATGTCCCACCAAGATGAGGCCTCAAGGAAGACCCAGGACATGCTGGAGGGACTATGTCTCTTGGCTGGCCTGGGAATGCCTCGGGATCCCCCCGGAGGAGCTGGAGGAAGTGTCTTGGGAGAGGGAAGTCTGGGGTTCTCTTCTAAGGGTGCTTTCACACCTGTGAATCGATTCAGTTGTTCCGAAACAGAGATTACATTTGTTGCATTGTTGCTTTTTGCTCTTAGAGCGGTTCGCTTTCACACTGCAAAGTTTCTAATCGGACCAAAAGAGCTAAAACAAGTAACGTGTGAGTAAACTTTCCTCACATTGGTCAGAGTGTCAGGGTTTATTTTGCAGTGTCCCGCTAAGCTGTCAGGAGAGGTGGTGGTTTGGTGGTGATTGACAGGGTGCGCGCGCGCGCGACGTGTCTGAGGAGAGATGCGGTGGGGAGGGGTGAGAAGGGTGCGCGACTATGCCTATTTGAGGACCGGGAGGGAGACACGAGATTACAGGGAGATCATCACTCGTTTGCGGGCATCCGGAGACTCGCGAAACTTCCCGCCATACTCATAATTCTCTCTTCATATAGCCGTATGCCTATTACATATCCATAAAACACTGTGATATAACCGCGCTCGGATCGTATCGCTTTCTTACTGCAATCGAACCGCTCCAGGGTTCGTTTCAATCGAGCCGAGACCACCTCACTCTGGCAGTCTCGGAGCGATTACTTTGGCGCGGAACAGAACGCGATTGCTCTGTTCACATATGTCAAATGAACCGCGCTAACTGGGCAAATGAGACAGGTTCCGAAACAAAAGTGAAGGTGTGAAAGCACCCTAAGACTGCTGCCCCCATGCCCCCATGAAAACTTGTAATGTTAATGTTAAATAAAAAAGTTAATTTAGCAAATAAACAATTGCAGTTTTATAATTTTTTGGTTCTTTTCCCCCTCTCTTAGGTGCAATGGTCCATGCCATCTCCGTCTATAGTGGCTGGTTTGGCAGGAGAGGTTATGTGAAGAACAGCTTCTCCATGAGCTAAAAATTTAACCGCAGAGGAGTTCACAAACTGACCACAAAGAGGAAAGGATCTCAGTTTCTCTCTCTGATTTGTTCTTGTGTTGTTCTGTAATGACGCCATGTCTCAAACTGGGAAAGTCCTTCATTTGTATGTGGAGGTGAGATCCCCACCAGAGCATGACGGGAAAGGTAGCTCCTGCGAGACGACAGTGGAGCAAGAAGGTCCTGTTGAGGCTTTGACCAAATTAGCACAGGCGGCATCTGGATTTACCACACCTCCCAGCAGCACATTCAAACCAAATGTTAGCTTCAGACTTCAGTCTTCACAAGATTCCCCTCCAAGATGCAACATTCCTCAGCAGGAACCATTCCAACAGGGGTCCTCTGGCCTCAATAACAATATTGATAGTAAGCAATTAAAACATGTCCACTCGTTGTCACATTCTGGACGGACTTCTGGCCCGGGAACACCTTGTCGAGCCTGCAGCCACCATCAGAACTCTAAACCAGAGCTTGGACAGAGGTCTGTGGTCACTTTTAGCTACATAGAGAAACCCCATATTAAAACCGTGGAGAGTCCTTGTAACAGTCCGAGTGGAGTAAAAGAGGCAGCTGCTGGCTCACGTAAGAGGTGTAGTGATCCAGTGCGAACACGACCGGCTGAATCTTCCTGCAATAATAGTCCCTTTCACCAGCACATGGGTTGCTCTACTTTGGATCCCATTGGTCAAGCAGCAACACAGCGAGCCCTGGAGGAGTTTGGCTCTCCCCAGTTGAGGTGCAAGTTTTCTCGTGGCTCAAACTGGAGTCCAGAGTTCCACCAACAACAGAGGGCACGATGCCAATCTTGGGCAGGTTCACCAGTGCCAAACAGCAGCCGTCGGGAACCTGACACCAGCAGAGTGGGAACTGTGTGCGGTGTCCCCCAAAGCCCAGCATCAGATGCTGTCTTATCACACACAGGGCACAACAACCAGCAGATATCCAGCTCCATATCCCAAGGATGCCCCAATCAGAGCACCCCAGTCAGTCAAAGTCAGACTGGAGATAGGCCACTCTCAGGGCAAAGGAACACAAACACATCCCCTCATGGTTTAAACCAGCTAAGTGGAAGCAATAACTCCTCAGCACTTAACAGTCCTGAGGTAGCCCGCAAAATTGCAGAAGAGGCAACCAAAGTGTCATCAATATTCAATGAAGTCCGAAGTTCTCCTCCTCCTGTTGTTTCTGGAGGTTCATCTAATCTAAGCAGCACAAACTATGGGTATCCTTCAAGAGGAGTCCAGCAGGAATCTTTACAGCAGAACCCAATGCATCACTCAGCTGTTAAGATGAACATACCTGTGCATGAAGACCACGCTAAGACAAATGGTGTGTCTTTGCATCTGCATGAAGCATCAACTAGTAAGAGCTTGGACTTCAAAGATGACCAAACCAATCATTCATTCTGCACTATACCAGCCCCTGATTCTCCAGCTGTGCCATCTCGTCTTCTTCGTCCAAGTCTGTCTAAAGCAGATGTGTGTTCTCCACTCCGGGATCCTCGTCAGCTTAGAGCTGACCTACCAGTTTCAGATAGCCCCACTTTACACCGTCACAGACCTCCGCAGTACACTGGAGAGGAGTGGACCTCTGGGGAACCCTGGTTCCTGGACGAGGAGGACTGGGATGATCAAGTCATTGCAGAAAGTGTGGAAATTTCAAGAAGGTTGTTTATTGGTCAAAACGTGGATGATTCCCCTGTCAGTTGGACATCTAGACAGCAGTGGAAAGATCAAGCAAAGAAAGAGGAAGGGAAGTTCACTTTGGTGGAAAAACTTGAAAGGACTATCAAGAGCAGTAGTCCAGTGTACAAGAAAAGAGGTCAGGTTGAGGTCACAGAAAAAGCAGAGGAGAATGTGAGCAATTTGGTATGTGGAGCAAACCACCGCTCAGGGGAAAATGTAGAGGAGATGACCAGGATAACACAGCTACAGAGACAGGCAGAATGGAGGAGACGGCAGGCTTTGCTTCTAGGCCCAGTGGTGTTAGAAGATGGAGACGGGGAGAGAGGAGAGGACGAACATGGGTTTGGAGAGCAGCAGGGTTTGGCTGGGTCATCCCCGAGCTCCAGTGGAGTAACTGGAAGTCTTGGGGATAGAGATTGCATCTCACCTGAGTCCAGCCAGAACAGCAACCAATCAGATCACCCGTCATCTGGGATACAGGTGAGACCATTTTCATGAAGCTATTCTTAGTAGGGCTGTAGCGATACACTAATCTCACGATACGATACACTATATTCAGCTCACAATACGATATATATCACGATATTTAGCCATCGATATAATTCGATTAGAGCTGCACAATATTCAAAAATTTGCAATATTATTTATTTATTTATTTTGAAATGAATACAATTTGATCAGAGTTTGCTGTATTTGGAATGAATTCATTTATTTAGACTGATTGGGTTTGTTCTGGAATAATATTGGGTTTGTTTCCCAGTGCTGGGATCAAGTAGTTTTTACCAGATGCCGTATTGGGCATACGAGAATTACACATGGTTTTTTGCTCCAAGGTGAAAACCCCACTCAGTGTTTGTGCTGCAAAACTCCTCTTACTGTAAAACATATTTTACTGGACTGTCCTGCTTTTACTGATTCCAGAAGGACTTTTTATGAAATTAACTCTTTTAAGGACATTTTTGACAAAGTGGAACCAGAAAAGATTTTAGAATTTTTATCATGTATTAACACAAAAAATCTTATTTAATTTATGTTTTATTTTGTTTGTTGATTTTTAAATTGTATATTTATTGTTGAAAGATTCCTGCCATGAAGATAGCCTTGGTTGCTGACATGGCACTAAATAAAAAATACATTACATTACATCCCAGTGCTGGGTTGCAGCTGGAAGGGCATCCTCTGCATAAAATGTATGCCAGAATAGTTGGTGGGTCATTCCGCTGTGGCAACCCCTGATAAATAAGGGACTAAGCTGAAGGAATGAATTATAGGGGTTTATCTGGATTATTATTGGTAAGGTAGACATCAATCAAAGGTTAAATAACACAATTTATAGTCCTTTACTGTATGAATTATTTAGTAAATACATACATTACATGCCTTAATATTTTAAACCTTCATGCCCGAATACGTACAGTACATAGTCACAGGCCTTAAAATGCATGCAAATGATGAACTTTCACTCGATTATGGTTGAACTCTTCAGTGAGTCCAAAAATCTTCAGTGTTATGATCTGTTGCTCCTGGTAAATTATAATCCCAACATATAAACTCAACATTGCACTTCCTGTGATGTGACTATGGGATATCGATGCTGAAACGATATATTGTGCAGCCCTACGTTCTTACATTAATGGTTGATTTCTGCTACTGCTCTTTACAATAGTGATGAACCAGGCCTTTTGTTTTGCATGCACACTGAGTTAAGCATTTATTATAAGCCTAATGTGTTTATGTTGTGTGGGTGTTGAAGTCGGATGGCGGTTCTTTGGTGCCAGGTCCGTCTCTGCACTGTCAGAAAATTGCCCGTGCCAAGTGGGAGTTTCTGTTTGGCTCTCCAGCAGAAAATACTGCCAACGAACGAGGGAAGAGTGAGTAGCCTGTTGACCTCTTATAATATGAATATTAATGAACACTTAGGTTTCATGAAAAGCAATTGTGTGTCATTTTCGAGGGTTATTTTAAGATGTTTGAAGTGTATGTAATTGTTTTTGAGCCACATTGAGTGCTCTCGTATGAAAGAGAGATAACACTGCATTATCATTAAGCGGAAGAACAGTCATCAGCAAAATATGCTTTCATTTAGGGGTTGGAACCTTTAGGGACTGCTCTAGACAATCTGACTCAATTCCAGACCCCAATTCTAGACCTACAATACAAATCCTACTAGACAAGACAAATCCAACTTTACATTTTAACCAGAATTGGAGTTTATGCTTTTGTTTGTGATTGGAATGTATAAAAGTACTCCAATCCTAAAAATTATTTATTCATTCATTTTCCTCCGGCTTATAATCTGGGGTCACCACAGCAGAATGAACCGCTTACTTATCCAGCATATGTTTTACACCGCAGATACCCTTCAAGCCGCAACCCAGCACTGGGAAATAACCAAACACACACACACACACACACACACACACACACACACACACACACACACACACACACACACACACACACACACACACACACACACACACACACACACACACTATGGCCAATTTAGCTTATCCAATTCACCTATAGCCCATGGAAACCCATGCCAACACCAATCAGCAACCTTCTTGCTGTGAGGCACCCACTAAACCGTGTTGCCAATATGATTTAATTTAATAATAAAAAAGTTTTACTTAGCATGCAATTAACCCTAAAACACCAATTACAAAGGCCAAGGCCAATTCTTTTAGTTTGTTTATAACTTTTAAATGAAGAAAAGTCTTCAAAGCCAAATTGTTTATATACAAAGTATATTTGGAAATTATATTAGAATCGCTTTTAGTTTTGAACCACAGATAACTAGCTTTAAAACATAGTAGTTCACAACACTTCAATCATTTTGCAACACTTTATTATTATTATATTATAACCTTTATTTTACCAAGAAAGACACATTGAGATTAAAAATCTATTTTACAAGAGCGTTCTGGCCAAGATTAGGCAGTACACAAGTCACATGAGTCCAACAGACAACAAACAAAAAACAATTTAAAGTTAACATGAATCACACTGACAACTATTCAAAACATCTACAAACCTGTGTTTCAACTTCTAAAACTCTTATAGTCTTTTTAAAAGCATGTAGTGAAATCAAGTCTTTGAACTGCAACTGTGTTTGCAGATTATTCCAAGACAAAGGTGCTGCGTACTTAAAAGCCTTTTTCCCATCTCAGTCCGCACTTTAGGGACAGAGAGTAAACTTACATCATGTTAATGCGCCACGTCTATCACGGTCAAGGTTTGGCTTTGTGGTACAGCAGGAATTAGAACAGTGGATAATGGATGGGAAGCGCAGTGCTCTTAAAATTCTTACGCTTATTTTTCAGTTTCTACTTTCCAGCTCAGGCCAGCACCATCAGGTGCAAAATTGGATCCATTTATAAGTAACTTATTCAGTGCATTTACTGTACATGTACACCAATGATTCAATTGTAATATGATAAAGACAATATTGATTAAAAGTCTACCAAGTAAACAACGATTTTGATGACCTTAATCAGATTAAAGTCATAATCGAACTAAATAGAAATAGATTTAAGATGTGGAGTATTCCTATTTTAGTGGCATTATTGAGGTGCAGTACAGACATGTAAACACCGCAATCAAACTATTACCATCATGTTGGACTTTTTGCTACAATTTGCGACAGGAGACGCACATGGCAGTTGTCAAGCGTTTAATGTCAAACAAATGAAAATGGCTTCAAGCAAGAGAGCAGATTTTTTTCATGCAGTTCCTCAGAGTTTGTCAATAAAAAGTTGTGAATATTGAATGAAATGTCAGAGGTGACATGTTGCTTGAGAATTTATATCCACCATCATCTGTTTGCATGTAAATTGTTATAAATGAACTGCAGTTGAACTAAACGAAACGCCCAAAAATTACATAGGATGTGATGTGAACAATAGCTGTTGTTGTGTAAAACGCTAGACGAAACTAGCATTGAATGGTGATGTAATGGTAGAGCGGCAGTTCAGCTCGACACACGGCCCTGTGTGTGTCGCTTGCTTGGTGCTGTGTGTATATGTGTGTGTGTGTTTATACAGACAGCTTGTTATTCCCAAACAAACAGACAAACTTGGGTATAAGATGCAAGTATAGAGTAAGGATTTCACATTGTAGAATGTCAATAAGGTCAGTAGGCTTGGTATCAAATGTCTACATCTTGGAAGAGTGGTGTTTTAAAGGAATTTAATACCGTGTACAGAGAAATCTCCGCATTTTGCGATGCGGGTGTCCGTGGTACTTTACTGACTCGGTAGGTGCAGGAAATAGTTTCAAACAGCCGTTGTGTTTATGGAATATTCTGTTATAAAATGTGGTGAAAAGTCCTACATGATTGTAGTAGTTTGAGGTGGGTCTTGTCTTAACTGCACTTCAATAATGCCACTAAAATCGGCATACTCCACATGTCTCCTAATTCTGTTTAGTTCGATTATGACTTTATTCTGATTAAGTTCATCAAAAAATTCTCTTTACATGGTAAACTCTTTATCAACATTGCCTTTATCATATTAAAATCGAAGGATTGGTGTCTATGTAAACATTCATTATTTGTTATCCTCGTAGATGTTCCAGAATCCACCACAGCGCCCCCGAGTGGCCACTCCACCCCAATCCCACCATCGTTCCTGCCACTGGAGGCGCTTGCTCTCAGAGCGAACCATGACGTTCAGCATGTGGTGGTGGAGCTTGTGACTCCGCCCCCTGCTGCCCCTGGCTCCTCCCCTAAAACAGTCATAATTCGTCGAACCTTAAAATACTCGGAGACTGATCTGGACGCCGTCCCGTTACGATGTTACCGAGAGACGGACATCGATGAGGTGCTGTTAGCAGAGCAAGAGGACGCCGACTCCGCTTTTGGAAGCAACCGCAGTGTCATGGGGACATCCTGTGCTGGGAGCAGCCCTCTAGGAGAGATGCCCAACGAAAGAACAGATGGACAGGAGGATGGAGAGGAGGAGGAAGAAGAGGAAGAGGAGGATGTTGCGAGCTGGGCCACTGTCAGGATGCAGGGGGATGTGAGGCGACTGCTGGCCGAACAACAGGGAGACGATGAAGAAGAGTTTTACAGAATGATGATAAAGAGGTGTGGAATATCAAACATACACTCACTGATCTCATGCTTTTACATTTAGTCATTTAGCACAGGGATTCCCAAACCTTTTTATTCCGGCACCCACCTAGGAAAGTAATTCAATCTCAAGACCCACCATAATATTTTAATATGGAAAAATTGGTAAAAAATTGTATCCATTCAAAGCAGTCAAAAATATATGGTGTGTGGCTTTTTGGATTGGACAAAATGAGGCTCGAAGTGCTTTTTGTGGGATGCTGGCTGTAACTGTGATCATTTTTTGTTGAAAAAGATACTCTTCTTTTTTTTTTTTAGAAGAGAATATGATCAACCTTTGATCAAGCCCCTTGATTATGATCTAGCCCCGTCACATCGCAGTAAATTCCACTGCTAGTGTAGTCATAAGAAACTAAATAGCTTTTTGATCGACTACTACAAGCTGGAAAAACGTCAGATAAATATGCCAATGCAATTAACGTTATTGCTGAATAGATCTAATATTTACACATTTGCTTGAGGAAGGAATGATGGGGTAGTTACATTACTATTACTATTTTCCATAACATCTATGCCCTTCCATAACATTAGCTGACGTTAAAACTAACAGATATAGCACTATAGATATTTATTGATTAGCAATCTGTCAACGTTGGGATGTGAAAAATATGGGACAACAAATAGCTTCAAATAATAGAATACATCGCAAACATTAGAAAATATTGACAATAAAATAAAAGGTTTAGCCTATTAAAAACAACAGCCTATACAGAAATTAAATAAAGCTATAACATCTATTTCACTTTTAATTGTATTTGCATATTGATTAAAGTTACTATAGTTATTTAGTGAAGAGCAGCAAATGAATCCCTCATTATGTTTCGTTTGATAGGTGTTAATGTTAGAATGCAAAGATCTATAATGAAAGCATTCGACTACTTTAGTAACTGTTTGTGGTCATTTAAGAGAAAATTTGTAGTGTTTAAAATAAAACGCGCAGGACAGAGCAAAAAAACAAAAACAAAAAAAAAAGATTGCAAGGGCTCAAATGGAGCAGTGGTCGTAATGTCGAGCGAAAAAAAGAAAAAGACAGCTGTGAAACATAACCAGTTTTGTCTTTTTGTAGGAAACACACTTTAGATCTTTTTAGGGTAAGAAGTTTTTGAGTTATTGCCGTCTATCTTCCTGGTTTGGATTCACCGCAATGTAAATATAGCTGCAGCTATGTGACGTTGCGCGACCCACCTTTGTTCACTGTGCGAACCACTAGTGGGTCGCGACCCTCAGTTTGAAAACCCCTGATTTAGCAGACACTTTGTCCTATTTACAATTGAAGAGACATTCAGTGATTCAACAAGAAGAGGCAATACACACATGACGGGCTAGTTATACAAAGAAACGTGTTTGTGCTCAGAGTTAAGAGTTTTGTTTTTGATTTATAGACAAGTAATAATACTTTAAACTCTATTCTGAATGTAACTGGGAGCCAGTGTAAAGACCTGAAGACCGGCGTAATGTGCTCCGATTTCTTGCTACTGGTCAGAATCCTGGCAGCAGCGTTCTGGATGAGCTGCAACTGTCTGGCTGTCTTTTTGGGAAGGCCAGTGAGGAGTCCATTACAGTAATCCACCCTGCTGCTGATAAAAGCATGAACAAGTATCTCATGAACAAGTTTTCACTGTAAACAAAGCATCTAATTCTTGCTATTTTTGAGATGATAGTATGCAGACAGTTAAAACAGGTGGTTTGTCAAGCTCACTCACCTTTTTTTTGTAGACATTATCCCCTTTCAAACATACAGACCTTCCCGGAAAATTACCGTCAATTTTCCAGAAAGGTGTGTGTGTGAACAGGCCCTTTTTGAAAATACCGGTAAATTCATTCAGGCTATTTTACGGTTGAAACATTACCGGTAATTTGCCGGAAAGCTGCGCTGTGTGAACGCAGAAGGAAGATTGCTGGAAAGAGCGCGTGCACGTCTAGAACATGATGACGTGAGGCGTCTACTTTAGGCAATCAGAATAGTCAGACGCCTTCACGTCCGTGTGGAAAATAAAAGCTTTTGAATATTTTTCCAGACACGTTTAGCTGCTAGATGTTAGTCAGATAACGTTTATATGCTCCTTCTTAATGCCAACTGTGTAAATAATTATCGATAAGATGCTTATGATAAGCCGTAGTTTGTTTACCTTCAAGCTCTGCTTCCTTCAGTTGCTTGTCTCGTCGCATGTGGCCGTGAAGCAGCCTGTGAAACAGCCCGTGAGCGCCAGCACACACACATATCATTTACATCTCGACATGCGAAAGTGTTCCTCTATATTTTCATCGAAGCTGTTCACAATACTGATCCAACCACAGAGTTTGTAATGTCGTCAAATGTTTACAAATACAAGCGCAACCGTTTAGAGCTCGTTTCTGGTTAATGATGTCAGAACTTACCGCTATTTTGGGATGGATGTGTGAACGGTCTTTTACAGAAACATTCCGTAACGTCCTTGCCTGTGTGAACAGTGCTTTTGGGAATTTACCGGTAAAGTTGTTCTGGAAATTTTCCAGATATTTACCGGTATCACTGTGTGAAAGGGGCTGTAGACAAACAAAGTACAGACATACAATCCCATCATGTAACACTGTGCAAAATCTAGAATAAAGCATATAACCAGGGAAAATGGCAACGTACAATACATGTATAAAAGACATCCTCAGCTGCCGGTTCATGCAGACTTCGGTCCAATCCCGATTCTATTTTTGTACCCCTTCCCCTTGGCCCTTAAAACCGAGTGTGAAGGGGAAGGCCTTCAAAATGTACCCCTAAGAATTGGGACAGCACTACAGCCCCTGCACACGTTATCAGATGTCATCGCAATCTCATGCTTCATATGGGATCAGACGATCGCGACTTCTGTTGTTAGTCCAGTTGTGTTATTTTGTGGCATTTATCTTCAGAAAATCACTAAAGGCATATGTCATGTTATCATAATGATATAATGTGGCAATACGATCATTACTGTACTGCGCATTTAACACAGCGGCCATATTCATCTATATGAACACAAGAAAACATTATTAACATTATAGCAGACACTGTAAAAAGCTCATTCTCAGCTACTAGACTTTTCTAACAGGGTATTCGAGTAACACAGAGTGACAATGTTGTGGGACTGCTGTACAGGAGTTATGATTATGGGTTATAGATCGTGAAATTTAGCGGGTATTTTTAGCGTTTTTTTTTTTTTTTAAAGCATGACGGTAAAACACAAATGTGGTTATGAATGTAATAAAACGTGTTTGTTTGTTGTAGAAATTTGTAATAATGACAAAAAAACTAATTTGTGGATCTCCTTACTTCCGGGTGTAACTATCCTGCCGTTGTAGATGGTGTATTCTGGGTAATTTTCTTACCTCTTGGTTTGGAGTGTGGTCCTGAAAAATATTTTTTCGACCCCTTCCCCTTAGCCCTACGTCTTCAAGCTAAAGAGAATTGGGACAGTTCTACCCCTTCACGAGAACATGCAAAACGAGGGGTAGGGGGTAAGGGAAAGGGCTAAGGGGTAGAATTGGGATTGGGCCTTTAATGTTGTTCAAAAAATCAGAAATTACAATTCTGTCTTTTTTTTTTAGGCCCCAAGACCATTTCAGAAACGATCACCCAGCTCTGAAATCCCCCCTCCTGGTCCGTGGCCCACGCAGAAAGTCTGGAGACAGTTTGGACACATTCAGCCGGCATTTCGAGAACATCATGGAGTCTCACCGTGCCAAGGGCACGTCCTACAGCAGTCTGGACAGCCTGGACCCTCTGACCTCCAGCACTCAAACCGTCCTGACCTTTGACCTCCCCACTCTGACTCCACAGGTAGGCATGGGACGATAACCAGTTTCATTGTTTAGCTAGGTTTGGAAAAGGTAGGGGTTTAAAACCGCTGACATGTTCTGCTATACCGTTCCTGTAAGTACTTTATTTAGATTTTTAGGGCAGCAGTATCTCCATCAGAAAAGCAGCCTCCTTTACAAAATCCACTGGACAGCTCATGATTCAGTAAATATTTGAATCAGAAATCAGAATCAGAAAGAGCTTTATCACCAGGTATGTTCGGACGTACGAGGTATTTGTTACAGCACAACAGAATGACAGAGACGGGACAAATAACAGATACCCTATTTTAAAATGAAGTAAATAGTGAATGTTGTTAAATAAATAAGTGCATATGTGTATAAAAAGTAGTGATGTTCATTTCACAATTATTATCATCAAGTGTTCCTGAAGTGGATTGCCTGAGGGAAGAAACTGTTTCTGTATAACTTTCTGTATAACTTACTTTGCGCTCTTATTCTTATTTTTTTTTTTTATCTAGTTTATCTTATTTTATGTCATTCTTCTTAACTTATTTATTTATTTATTTTTTTTTAATAGTAGTGCACAGTCCTGTGTAATGTTGTCAATTCATGTTGTTTGATGTAGCACCTTGGTCCTTGAGGAACATAGTTTCGTTTCACTGTGTACTGCACTGTATATTGTTGAAAAAAGTGCTACTGTACAAGTACTACTACTAACCCAAAATGTAGTGCAAGTAGAGTTGGGTACCGAAACCTGGTGCCATTATGGCACCGGTACCTTTGGAACCGGTATACACCGGATCAAATCAGCATATGAATTTCGTTGCCTAATTTCGGTGCTTTACGCACAGGTTAGTATTAAGCTAATGTAATGTTAATAGCATGATTCAAATCCTGCATTTATGCTAACAAACAAATGATGAAAAGAAATATGTTAATGCAATATATATATATATATATATACATACATATATATATA